AACGGGCTGGGCGTGGCTGGGGTTGCTAGGTAACGGGCTGGGCGTGGCTGGGGTTGCTAGGTAACGGGCTGGGCGTGGCTGGGGTTGCTAGGTAACGGGCAGAGTTCCACTGGGGTCACTAGGTGAAGGTTAGTGCCTGTTGATTTGTGACTTTACATTTCAATTTTCCAGATTCAATAAAAATGTCAACTTATTGTCAGAATACAACCAGGCGTTTGTTTTTTAAACACTTTGGTTGTTTTTAGAAGCAGTAGAGACTCAGATGGAAATATAAAAATGTCCAAAATGTGAATTTGGCACATTACGTCGCCTTTAAATCAGAAGTTTTGTGTAGATTTTAGTTCATGTTCATCTCGAATACCAACACATTCTTTTGTTTGGGAATACATTCAAGTTAAAGTTGATGTCATTACACAGTTAGTATTAATGTTTCCTATCTGCGACTCTTTAAGGTGGCAGTTCGCCTGCGAGGGCGCAGACATCGGCTTTGGGGTGTTTCTAAAAACGAGAAAGGGTGAGTGGAAGAAAGCGTCTGAAATGCAGGAAGTGATTCCCAGCCAGCGGTACAACGCTCACCTGGTTCCTGAGGACGGGTCGCTGACCTGTGAGCTTCCAGGAGTCTGTGAGTCGTCCGACTGTTTACCCAATATCCCCACAAATCACGAACTTCCCCTTTAAAAGGCTCCACTTCCTGTTGAACAGATGTGCTGAGGTTTGACAACACGTACAGCATCTTCCAGGCCAAACGGGTCAGCTACACGGTGGAGATTCTGCTGCCGGACCAGCTCCAGTCCAAGCAGGAAGCCCAGCCCAACGGGACCAGCAACCAAGACGCACAGACTCGGCTCTGAAGATGAGTTCAGGATGGATTAAACGATGAAACAAGCACAGCCTGATGTACTTGATGTAAATAGAACCATGCTGCTCTCGCGGTTTTAGCTAGAAGTCCAGTTTAACGCTACGGCTCGGTACTTAACTCTGTTTCAAATGTTTTGTTCAACCAAAAATTAAAAATGACCTCAAGTTATCAGGTTTTTTTCTCCCTCCATTATTTAAAAAAAAAGGCAAAAATGAATCATTAAGTCTGACTATGAGGAGTAACAGTGGGCAATAAATATACAGATAGGTTTTGATTTAAAGTCAGAAATTTATCTTTTTTAAATCAAATTTGAAGTAATAGTGTTCCACAAGCCATTTGTCAAAACGTTCCAGTTGGAAGGATTACATTTTAAAGTGAATTTATTTCATATGTCGGCAATAGAAAGAAAAAAATAAAATAAAATGACAGGAATAAAGTCATAAACTTTATTCAGATAATACTGCAACTTTATTCTTATTATGACTTCTATTTTTATTTTCTTAACGCGAGTCTATTTCTGTGTATTCATTTCAAGAATGCTAATAAATAAAGTTTTCCTTTTTAATGTTTATATTTACAGCCGTGTGACAGCAGACTTGGTAACATTTATTTAGAGTCTGTTAGGTTTATAAAACCCCTAGTATCAAATTTAACTGCATTTATAGACAATCAGTGATTTAATGTTATGCAATATTCATATATTAGCCTAAAACTTTTGCAAACTGTTAATTAAAAGCAAGCAGGGAGTTTATGAATCTCCTGCAGCGTGACGAACATTAATGTTACATTCCTAATTATTACTGAGGGCCACTAGTTAGTTAACAAATAGTTAAATATTTATATATGATAATTTGTATAAAAGTTGAATCATACATTTCATAAATACATGTGAAAATTATTCAAATTTAAATTAGATGTAGGGAAATGCAGTGG